AATCTCAAAGGTTCAGCAACCTGTTGGAATATTTTTTCTTCCCTCAGGCCTCAGGAGACTTATGAATGTTTGAAGCTAAACAAAATTCATATTTAGCACAGAGCAAAGCAGTTATTTCAAACAATGTTTTGGCGTTGGTCCAGCTCACAGCAGCGATGCTGGGTGTCATGCCACAGCTACTGAAACGATCCCAAAGTTAATGGAGCTCTGTGTGAGCTGATGCAGCTACATGTTCCTCAGCTCCACCTGGGACTTTCATCTGCAGCAGCATTTACTTTCTTGAAACTACCCTCTTTGGTCAATTTTGATTTCAGGAGTGGATTCAGCCTTAATTCTATGCCTCTCTATCTCAGATACTCACCTTTAGCTTCTGTTATTGTCAGTAAAGACTAACAAGCACTTCCAAGGTGCGGTCCAGCCTGTTTCAGACGCTTACACTAGGATGAGGTCAGTCATGCCCGAGATTTGCTTTTAATGTATAAGGAGGCCAGCTCAGAGGCAGAAGCCCACACTGTAAAATTTTTATCAGATGAATCCTGCTCCATTTAATTATCAGGAAGGTCTACATAGACTTGTTAGACATTGTTCTGGCTTTTTTTTTTTTTTTTTTTGGAGGAGTTGGAGGCAGCTATTCTGAAGGAGGAAGGGAAAAAAGCTTTAAATACCATACCAGAATTTCAAGATGATGTAATATGTTTTGATACATAATCCATCACATCTGAAAATCTCTCCTTCTGTACAAGTCTAAAGGAAATATTGATGGTTGTTTAGATTAACACTGTGCAAAGCAATTGGTTTACTTGTTTTTAATTATTCAGATCTGAATTATTAGCAAAGCAAATTTCTGCCTATTGAATCCAAATATAATTGATTCAGCAGAAAGCTCCTCCCCCAAGCTGCATTCCTATAACGACCTTTGCTTCCTAAAGTCATCATGAAAATTCTAGTGGCCTTTGAAAGGAGGAATTCATGCAAAGCAACCCCCAGTGCTTTTTAAGATGGAGGCCAAGGGCAACCTCAGAGAAAAGCAAGGTTAAGATTCAACTGGCTGGCACAGAGCAGGATTTAGTTTTGGGTGTCAGATGAGGAGAAGGGACCGGAGTTGTTTATCCCTTGGTTTAAGCAGCAACATGACAAGCTCTGCAGAGGAGGCCGGTTTATTCTCATATAGATGCAGGTTGGAAGAGTTCGTCTGAGATATTTTGATCTTGGAGGGAAGGATGGGAGAGACAGAAAGGTTGCACATAACCTGACTACATGAACGTCTCTTTGGCTGGTTAATGGAGCAGCAGAAGCACTTGGCACAGAGGCAGCGGCGGGTTTCGCCTCTCAGCTGGAGGAGCAGCCCACAGTCACTGCTGTCCTGGAGTGCAACGGCTTATTAAAGGAATAAAGACAAAACTCTACTTGATTTCCAGAACAGAGGGGCAGGAAATCCTCCTGACCTTGTCAAAGCTTTACTGATCTTAATGGGTCTGCCACAGAGAAGAGCTCTGCTTGAACTGCGGAGGGGTGCTGCTCCTGAGGGACGAGTTCAAAAACACCAGCTCAGAAACATTAGTATTTCCCACTGTTTCTTCACCAGAGCTTAAAAGAAGCAGCATACTGCAGAGCACGCTGGCAAAACCTGCATGCTTATACCATAAAATACACATACGCTTATTTCTGTAAACTAGGAACTGAGAGCTTCTTGGCGAATGGATGAATTGGTTCAGAAAACAAGTTTCTGGCATAAGTAAACCCCATAAAGAGGGCTTAATGTTTATTTCTAATCTCGTGGAAGATTGTACAGATGAACAAAATGAGGTTAATCACCAAGGAAAATCACCAATGAAGTAATACATCTTTTGTTAAATATTAATTATGAATTTTTCCCCATCACAGAATTTACAAGTTTCTCTTGAATCAGGGATTAATTCTGAGTTTTTTATTTATCTTCTGCTGTGAATGGATCGGTTCTCAGTGGAAAGTGAATGAATGTATTCTGTATCAGATTTCTGCTTGAAAAGAAAATCCTTTGTAAAAGAACAGGCAGTCTTTTCCAGAGAAATGCAGACCGAGGGAAAAATTTCATTGATCGGGCTGTTAGGTCCTAATGAGTTCTGCATTTAGAGACTTGTGGTTTTTTTCCACCTCTTCCAGCAGTAGCGTAGCAGTTTATGCACTTAAATGTACGGGACTTGTTTGGGAGGAAGATTTGTATTAAAGGAAGGCAGCATGTTCCATAGTTTTAGTATAACATCTGTTATTATCATTCAGTGCTGCTCTTAGCCCAGCATGCCCTTCCTCTAAATATCTTATTAATTAAGCTGGCTTAGCAGGAGAATAATTAATACTTTAAGTCCTGTACCTACTTAGATAGGATTTGGAAACTGAAAAAATTGTTTTAGTCTGAGCTTCAAACTGGAGAGTTGTTTTTTTTTTTTCATTCTCAAGCAGAAGTGGATTACAACTAAAAGAGAGTATCTGAAAAACCTGTGTCTTCCAAAAATATGCTCTAGCTTCAAAATTCTGCTAGACTGCAAAAACAGTCCATGACTTTGAGAAGTCTTGGTCAATACTTGGGTGTCTTGCCCAGCAATTGTTTTGGGAAAGGCGCTCCTGTGCTGCTCCAAAATGTCCTGCTAGCCCTTTATAGCAGTCAGACCCCTGAAAGGCTTAACTCCCATCCACAAAATTAACGTGTTCCTTACCACTACTTTAATAATGTGATTGGACTCCCTAGCCATGAAATCTGTAGTGATGCTCCTACCTTGCATAGCCAGCTGTTGAATAGGCAGGAGGGTGAGATGGTGAACCCGGGTGGGTGCCAGTGAATTTGTATGTAAAATGTGGATCTGTTACTTAGCTATTTAAGGTAAAGCAAAGAAATTGTGGTATTTGCCCTTGTCTTTCTTTTGTGAGCAGTGCTGCTGTTTATGTGCAGAAACTCCAACTTTGCTGCTGTTTCACCCAGCTTGGATTTCCCATTGAAGAACAAGCTCAGACAGACCGTGTACTGTTCACTGCTCGCACTGACAGAAAAGTACACTTTCTCAGACCTACTGGAAAAGGTGTTCGGTGCTGCCAAGTCACTTGTCAAAGTCATAGAATCACAGAATCACAGAATGGTCTGAGTTGGAAGGGACCATGGGGGTCATCTAGTCCAACCCCCCTGCAGGGAGCAGGGACACCTTCCACTAGATCAGGTTGCCCAGAGCCCCGTCCAACCTGGACTTGAATGTTTCCAGGGATGGGGCAAGTTGATTTTAACAATTTCTTTGGTGGGAGAAAGCTTGAGAGCTAGCTGTAGATTGTTTGGGCTTTTTTTGGGGGGTGGGGGCAGCTATTCTTAAGGACGAAAGGGGGAAAAAAGCTTTAAATAGCATACCAGAACAAGGCCCCTTCGGTGCAGGGAAAGGCAGGTTGGGGAGCAGTGTGCAGCGTGACTCCACAGTCTCATTGTTGGGTATTTTGTCTCAAAAACATACTAGAAATTTAGAAATCTAAGTTTCATTGAAAATCAGTGGGGTGCCCAAAGCTCTTCTTCAAATGGGGCTAAGGCACCCTGGAAAATGCTGTGGCTGTTAGGTTAACAGCCTCAAAAATAAAACTGCACTGAGTGGATACGTGGTCTTGTGCTTCAGCAAAGGGACCTGCCGTTAATTCTGATGGATACTGAGTTCACAAGGTGTGTTTGGGAGAGAGCAGGGGGTTTTGTTAGCTACTGACTGGATCTACTGGCCGTCTTTGTCCTGAAGAATACACATTCAAAAGTGATTTAAAAAATGGGGAAACCTAAATTTATCCTATGGAAGAAAAGTGAAGCAGAGCTGGCCTTGTTCATGCTTAGCCGTATGTATCTGACAGCAAATGAGTTGCAGTGAGTGCAGCGTTGCAGTGTAAGCATCGCTAGTTATCCCGGGGTATCCCGTGCTCCCGCGGGAACAGCCAACACGCAGCAGTGCCAGAAAAGGTTACATCCCCACGTTTTCAGGGGTGGAGCGAGGGTTTCAGAGCCTCTTTTGCTTTAAATCTGCCTTGGGCAGGCTGGAGCTGCAAAGTCCCAGTTCATTTGTGCATGCGTGCATCTGCGCTGGGTCTGATAGGGGAGCATATGGCAGAAGCGGTGCGCCCTTGACTGTGCCTCTTTTTTGGCAGGCACGGGCTTGTTTCTCGCAGAGCACGCACAGTCGCATCCTGGCCTGCGCATCGCTTCTTGCGCCCCTTGCTTGCTGGCTTGCAGCTCTTTGCCTGAAAGCATGTCCTTTGTGGTGGTTTTGGTTAATTGGACATTGTTTTAATTACTGCTGAGCTAAACAAACATGAAATTTCTATCTGTCATTTTGCCGCCCCAGTGACCGTGGTCTCCAAATGGGCAACACAGGGCTCAGGCTGTTCAGACCTGGTGTAACTCGCAGTGGGTCTCATAGAGTTCCCCTCATTTACCCCTTTTTGGGGGGAAAACCACCCCTCCAGGGAGAAGAAGGCTCCATTAAACAGCTCTTTTTTTATTATTTTTTTCCTTCACTCTCTCAAGCACCTTGCTCTGCTCTCACTGGAGTCAGTGGGAAACAAGCCTTGGCTGCCGGGCAGCAGAGGTGCCTGTCCTCTTTCGTGGCCTGAGGACCATCCATGGCCACATCCTTCATTGGTGTGACCCTTCACATTGCCTCCTTTCTTACCTTTCCCTCTTCCCCTCCTGCACTAATTGCCTTTTTCTCCCTTTGACGTCTGATTCTGCACAGCAATGCTTCAGTCGTGTGTCAGAATCAAGCGATGGGAGTGCAGGCGTGCCCTGGGATCGGTCCGTCTGGAGCCATTTCTGTCAATAGAGGCCGTGCTACAGCAGCAGGCAGGTTGTCTGGACTGCCAATAGCCTTTATTTTGAGATGCTAATTTGCCGCTGACTTGAAGAGGAGAAGAAGCCTTTTTTTAAATGCCTTAAAAGGCCTAGAGCCTTTTAAAACAGTCGTTTACCTTCTTTTCTATTTGTATTGACCTTTCTCCTCTGTTTGCAGCTTTGGAAAGAAAAATATCAATGAGGCAAAGCAGAGAGGAGCTTATAAAACGAGGTGTGCTGAAAGAAATTTTTGATAAAGGTAAGTGTTCTTCTTTTCACAACATTAAATTGACATCCCATATAGTTTTATGGCCAGATATTACGTTATTGTAACATTAAGAACTGGAAATAACAGTCCTGAATTGCAGGACTGTGCAGAATAAGGTCTCCAGACATCTCTTTCGCTTTCACCATGGGCTGGGTTCCCGGTTGGATACATGTGATAGTTATCGAGTAAATAAAACTGCAAGCTAATCAGCAATGTAAAGCAGTAGTGATATAAATCACGGCAGCTTTCAGGAGTCACTTGCTGCAAAACAGCGAGGCATCCAGAGTGTGGGGAGATGGAGTGGGTCTGTGCCTGCGTGTGTTAGCATTTTCTGGTTGAGTCATTATGGGATTAACTTGTGGAAGAGGGAAACATTTAAGGTTTTGGGTAGTGGCAAGCACAGAGCAGCGCGCCTTCCCTTGAAGCAGCTCAGAAGGCATGCTAATAGTAATTCCATGTTCAGGATAATTAATTTCTTGAGTTGGTAATGTATTATTTATGCAAAACGCCATTGTTTTGCACACACCATTGTTTTACCCTGGTAATGCAACACATATTTAACATCTATTACGTATGTGTCAATCTTTAACCACAGCTTTTGTTTTGCTGCTTCCCTTGCCAATAACTAAAGCAATGAATTCAGCAAATTATGTAAAGACATGCCAAAGTTGCCCCTTAATTTCACTAGAACTTATGCATGTGCTTTAAAGTCTTACTAATTCACCGTCTAAAAGTCTTTAAAAACACCAGTACAAAACCTGTTAGAAGTCAATACAGGTTTTAAACATTAACAGATATTAGAAGTAGGGTCTACCTCAGCATTTAAATCTGCTACCTACGTTTTTAGTCTAGCTTGTTGGGAATTTAAAAATTTACTATCCAGAACTCTTAATTTTTTAAGTGAAAAAAATAAAAAACAGTGCTAAACTAAAGAAATATGCTGCTTATCATTAAATTCTACAGTTGTTACCGGTTAGGGATTTTAGATGCTGCTAGTCCTTTAGATCCAACATTGCCTGTGCTCTCACTATGGCCTGCTGCCTTGGAAGTCATCCTAGATGCAACTTCAGGGTAGAAACACCAGCTGGAAAAAGGTTTGCCCTTCTCACCGCTCTGTGTTGTCCACGTTTTGGAGTGTGACCCCGATCAGGTGTACAGCCATGAGGCAGGCATCCCTGCAGCCAGCAAGGCACGCTCCAGGCTGTCACACCACGTGTGTCACAGCCCAGGGGAGGCCAGGGCACAGCTCCCCGTTCAGTGACCTGGCCAGCTCCGAAGTCAGCCTTCAGTCACACCTCTATCCAAGGTGTGTCCTCCTTCATCGCTGCCCCACATCCCACACATAGCTGGTTTCTGACCCATCCCTGCATGTTCCTAAAAGCATCCCCAGGAAAAATGTTTCCTGTGCAGCCTGACCCTGCCCTCCAGGTTGGTACCAAAGTGTCGCAACTTTCTCCCTTCGTCATATAATGCTCCAGTTTGTAATATTCTATGTCATCTTGTAGAGCAGATGCTAAGCAGTCTCAAGGTCCTCATCTGAAAAAAGGAATTAATTCCTCTTTATAGTAATTTTTTATCTTTTAATATCAGAAAAAGCTGCTGTGAAACACATGCTGCTTCATCCTATTTCCAGTGCAAAAAGCAGAGGTGTCGGACTTTTTCACTAGAACTGAAACTACAATGCAGAACAGCTGGATTTCTTATCCCGTATCCTACATTATTTCCTGCTTGTTGGAAACACAGGAGGATAAGAATTGGTACCCTTCCTTGAAAGAAAGAGAGAGGGCAGAGAAGAAAGTGGTAATTCACAAGTATAGTAGTAGCTTTGGTGATAGACGGGTATGAGTAAGGCGAGATTTGTAAAGCAAACGCAGTATTTCCTTCAGTGATGTAATAATCTGAGAGTAATTCTAGTAAAATATATATCTCACTGCAAACCTTATGCAGAAGTAACATTTTCCTTGTAATTCCTGTTGGGTAATCTCTAATCCTTCAAGAAAACACATCAGACTTTAGCACTTCATAGCAGAAAGCTGTATTTGATGGTGGTAGCACCTTCCATACCACAAGGCATCTTGCACAGGCAGTAGGTATAGCCATAATGTTACATCTCTTTGTCTCCCTTTCCTAAGAGGTGGAAAAAGCAGACAGAATCAGCCCTTGAGTAAGTAATTTTGCCTGTTTCTTTCTTAAAAAAAAGTCCACACAGATCAAAGGAAACTTGATATGGATAGACTGCCCCAAAACCAAAAATTCTGGAGCTTGCAGTGTGCTTAGTATGGTTTTTATCATGTCTTCTGTCTTAAAGAAAAACAGAATTAGCTGGTTTGTTTGCCTGGTGTTTAAAATGGCAATCTGACCTGTTTGCTTCAGGATTTGCTGGCTTTTTAGAGGACTTTGTGTCATACAGCAGGTGAAAGTTAGCAGAGCGCGGCAAGTCACAGTGTTCACACATGGGAGAGACACTGCAGCCCAGCTGCTATATTTGGGAAACAAGAAATGCTTTTATCGCTTCAGTGACCTCCACACTTAAACTCATCAAGTGAAACCACTCCGGCCTGCAGAGAGCTCTTTTCTTGTCAAGGGCCAGACTCATGGCCAAATCAGTTTCTGTCATCTTCCATTTCCAGGGTTCTGTGTCTTCAGTCTTCTGAAAATGTAGGCAAAGGTTGTAATTTTTTAAAAAACAGTGTACTTTTGGAAAAATAGTCAGTTGAAGAAGGATCTGATGAGGCACCTGCTGTTCTAATAGTTTGTGGGCAAGCAGTGCTGAGAGGTTAAAAATACAGCTTCCACCCGCAACACAGAAGATACCACAACATTTGGAAGAACTCATGTTTTTGCTACAGCGTTGCTCCTACACATAGATAAACAGCTTTGATTTTCACATGAAGGTGTAACTGTCCCAAAAGCATCTGTCTTTAGAATTGCCCACTGTTCCTTGATGCCAGTCAAAGAACTAAATCTACTTGTAGTATTTTGATACCTCTTCTTTTATCTGAACATCGATGAGATTGCCTGTAGTGAGAAATTTCTGAACACGAGTGTGTACCGATTGCTCGCTTCAGGTACAATGGTTCTTTAAGAAAGCACGGGCAGCGTTCATGTCGTGGATTTTTGTACTCTCTATCTAATCAAAATGGTGGATTTAGACGTAATTTTCATGTTACCTAAATCCTGACAGGATTTGGATGTGTTGCCCTTCTGTGCTAAGGCAGGTTTTGGGGCAGTATGTGAGCACAAGTCCGAAGAAGTGGCTTTGGTAGTGCAGCAAGGAGGAAGGCATGGCAGCCACTGGAGAGCCAGTTGTGCCGCGATGAAATCATATGTTGAAAGGTTTTGAACTCCTCCAGAAGCACGGAGGACATCTCTAGGTCAGCCTGTCTCAGGCTCCATGGGATGCTACAAAATTGGGGGTCTGCTTAGAGACTGAAGTCAAGGAGGATCCTAGCCACTGTGCTGAGGTAGCCACCAAGGCTAGGAAACAGCCCTGCTGGGGAGAGGTCTTGACCACATACAAGAACGCTGAGTTTTCCATCCCCTAGCCCATAGAGGCCATGACAGAGAAGGACATGAATTTTTCTCTACCCTTCCTAACCTTTGTCATCAAGAATGCTTGCCTGGGCAGTCTTACTTGAGAGCAGGCAAGTACTGAAGGAGACAACCCAAAGTGGAAAATAGCCCAGGATTCCAAACTCTCCTCATTTTGACTTCCATAGCCATTTGTCTGTGGAGGGAGAGCATGAGCCTGGCGCTTTTCAGATGAGCAAGAAGTTCCCTAGTCCGAGGTGTTCAGAGTGAAAAGACATGGTGAGAGAGACTGACATGGTGAAAAGACACGCATCAGAGAGTCTCCTCTGAGCTCCTGTGTCTTCAGTGACTTCAGGTGTGGGGAGCCTCCTGGTTAACAGGAGAGCAGCCTTCATCTGCTCCTGTGGCTGCAGAGGTCAAGCTGCTCTCTCTGGTGCCATCCAGATTCACCCTCAGCCGGCATCATCAAAGCTCAGGGTTTTAGGGGAAGTCATTTTCCACTAAGTAGCAGCAGGTTCTGTGAAAACACAGCAAAGGATTTAGCAAGCATGAGAGCAAAAGATTACATATGTTATCACTGTGCAAAATTAACTTTAAACTCATAGCCGTTCCTGAAGGCTAATCTGTTCAGCCATGAATATGTAATAATTGCATTACCAGGATTCTTTTCATTAGTATGTCAGCTAACCAGAATAGCTTTTAGTCCTTTAAAAATAATAAATAATTTGCCTTTTGTATCTGGTTGTCAGGCATGTCTCTGATCTGGGATTAATTCACACTAAGATGTTCCTCACTTTACAAATTGTTTTATCCACATCTTTAATCTGTTTGCTGTATGTGAGCAGCTCCCCATGTAGCTCTTCTTTAAACGAGATCTGATTTAGGGTGTATATTTCAGTCATAGTTCTGTGTCATGTCTGATGATTTAATTCAAGTCCAAGGACAAGTTTTAGAGTCTTAACAAAGATTGGAGAAGTAAGATTAAAAGAGGTTTTGCCATCAGTACAAAGAGCTGTTATTATGCTTGTTATTATGACAAAAAATAAAAGCCAAAATTTTATCTCACATTTTACTTTTTTGCAATCATAAACCTTCAACAGTTCATTTGAATGCTATCTTCTTAAATCATGCTGAATATACCTTGAGAAGCACAAAGTGCATTTAAGACAGTAAGATTTCAAGATGCTCGACATGTTATGATTGGCATCCCACTTAATTAAAAATGTGTAGATGTCCCTCCAAAAAAATAAATGTTACTGGTTTTTATCATGCATACTTTTTGGCTGCTCGCAGTGACGGTCAAATTTAGTCTTGCCCTGAATTAATGAGTATTGCCAGACACAATCACTGCTTTTCATTCAAGAAAGAGCTGCTCTGCATAAGAAGCAGTTAAACCAGGTGACTGAGACAACAGCAGCTCCTATCCCGAGCGTGTGTAAAAGTGCATGTTTATAAAAGGGAGACAGAGCAAGCACAGAATACATAGCATTTCCACCCAAACAGCTACGTCGAAAAACATTCAGCTTAAATACTGTCTGAGCTGTTGTTTGATTTTTGCTGCCTAGGGAAATAAATGGGTTTGTATTGAATGACCACAGCAGTTAGGAGGCAGTGCTGCGAACAACTGGCCAAAACCTTCAGTTTTGATTAATGTTACCACCTTTTAGCCAACCCAGTTGATGACTCTGAAAGCCATGGGTCACGTTCCAGTCTAGTATGATGTGGCTGTGTGCCATAATACGTCTTCAGAAAGCCTCCAACAACAACAAGACAGTCAAGACCTTGGTATTTCTAATAATTCCAAAATAATCAGGATACCGTCTGCACTCACTGTAGAGAAGCTTTAAAAGGCAGAAACATAATTCTGAATACCTATCAGCTAACGTACTTTCAGACTTGTTAATTGCTATATCCTGACACTTAAGTGAGACTTACATTTTTTTCTCTTTTTGTTATTGTTTTCCAAAGTGTTGTGCACATCTTAGCCCTGGGAGGGGAAAATGTGCACTCATTTGGATGATGTACATCTCTGCTTGGAACATCGGGCAGTACCCAAAACATCGGGGTGCCCAAAAATCAAGAACCAGATCCTGTAATCTTGAGTTTGATGTAAAAGAATAATTTAAATGGATAGTAAAATTAGGTTTCATTTATTTGTCTACTGGTTTTTAGCCTTACAGGTCACGTTCCAGTTACACTTTCAGGCTTCCGCTTGTAACCATAGGGGCTGAACACTTTCCTTTATAAAATTGTAATTGAGATATCCATGTAGTCATTGCATTGGTACCAGAGTGCTGTGCATAACAAGTTCTGAGATAAAAATCATGCAGGTTGACACCACAGAGAATGAGCTGATCCCTCGCTTCTGTTCTTCTATTATTTCTAATATGAAGCGGCATTTGATAGGAAAGAAACTACCAGCTGCTGTTACAGAATTTTTGCTCAGATAGAGGAGATATTATTAATAACTTTAAAAACAGGCTTTCTAAATGGAATCTGTTATATCCCGGTATCAAGACCTTACACCAGGTGACTATAAAAATTATTCTCTCCCTTACTTAAACCTTGGTGCTGAGAGCTGTAATGTTTTTACTTGTGTGTAAAATAGGGACACACTTCTGCACTTTTGCTTGTGTCCCTTATAGCATAAAAATCACTGTAAGGGAAGAGAATAATTGCTGTTATTACTATTAAAATATTATAAATTATATATTGTGTATATCAGTATTCTTTAAGAAGGCTCCATAGCTTCAATTCCAGCCCATTCTCGTTCCTGACTTCCCAGCTTCAACAGAGACAGAGGAAAAAACCAGATTTTGTGGCCCTGGATGGTACCACGTGGCCCCATGGATGGAGGATGGTCGGGAACCATCCAGCTCAGACCGTGGATCGTTATAATTACCCATCCTAGGGTAAGCAAAGGATCAACACAGATTTGACAGATCTTGCCCAAATCTTAACCCCTTAAGGCAAGTGGAGTGCTGTCAGACTTCTGTGAAACTCTTGTGGACAGAACATCACAGTCAGACATCTCCAAAAATTGCTCTGCACAAGTTGTATTTTTGAGATATAAATTGTACTGTTTTGATCCTTATCCCTGTGTTTTCTGTGTACGTATAAGATCTTGGTTCAGATTCCTCATTTGCAAGTAAGCTAATGGAGAGCGCAGATTTCAATTAAAATTCTTTCTCCATCTATGTGTCTTCTGTTGTTATTCTGCTTTCCTCCAACTACGAACAGATGGGGAACTTTCCATACCAAATGACGAAGGAGCTTTGGAGAATGGGCAGCCTCTGGGCTCCGGGCAAGTGCTGAGCTCCAGCCAGGTATCACTGCCAGCCCTAGCAGAACTGGATTCAGGTCCAGCATCTGGGGAACCCTGCTCATACGAGGTGCTCCCAACTACTGAGATCATGGATGGGACAGGTAACATCTTGTTTACATTATGATCTAGATACTCTAAGCTGTTTGAAACAAGTTTCTGACTTCTAACATTTGGTGTTTAGCCCTGAGAAATCCTTGTTGAAGAGCAAGGTCTTCTGATGGAGAAGGAGGTGACAGCATACAGATTGTCACTGGATGTTCCATGAGAAATTTTGACTGACTTGGTGTAGAAGTAACCTCCACTTCAACACAAGTAACCTGCACTTTGTCAGCATTTAAGAGTAGATTTCTAACTCTCCAGCTACAAGTCGGCTATGCCAGTGAACTCTGGAGCAGAGAACTGACAACATTTTTAAACCCAACATCCTGCCCTTTATCTGCAGCGTGGTGTTGGGTGACGTTTGTACCACACAGCTTTCAGTAGCTAACACAGCCGGCTGCCCTACCCGAGGCGGGGCTCTCTGTGCTTCTTCCCCAACCCATCCAGAGAGATGGCAACGCAGTACATCTAGGTTAGCTCCTCTTTCTGCATTGCTCGATGCTGAGAGTGGTGAATGAAGGTCAAGTGAGGAAAAGTGACTGGTAGAAGTGTTCATCCATGGTCTTGCACATTTATGTGGCCTCTTTGAAATGGAGTAGGTCCCGTGGGATGCTTTTACATTTATAGGATAAGTTTAGAAACCACCTGCTAGCATATCTGGTCCTGAGCAAGCTGTGGTGACATTTTAAAGCTCTTGATTTGTGTTCAGGGTGTGGGAACTTGTCCCAGCGTGGCATAGGGAAGCTGTCTTCTGTCAGAGGTAATGGGAAATTTGGCTGTTGTGTAGATGTGTGTTACTCTCTCTTTTTCTCTCTTTCCTTCTCCCTCATTTCTATGTTATATGATGTTGGAGTGAAACCTATTAGTCATTCTTTATCTGCATTGCTGCACTGCTTTTCTTGTCTTACTACGGCTGTATCCGCTGCTGCTTTGCTCGTAACGTTGTTGCGTCTATGATGTGGTTGTGTCCTCCAGTGTCTGAAGAGAGCCCCACATCCAATGAATCCGGCGTCCTCCTGTCCCAAGATCCTACAGCTAAGCCAGTCCTGCTACTTCCCCCCAAAAAATCTGCCGCTTTCCCTGGAGACCATGAGGACACCCCAGTGAAACAGTTGCCCCTCCTCAAACAGCCCCCTGCCCTGCCTCCTAAACCCATTGCCAGGATTGCCAGCCACTTAACTGGTAAGTAGGTGTTCCTGGGCCCTCAGCACCACCGTTTCCCTTGTAGGAAAAACCTGCCCTCCCAGCAAGGTGCTCCTTCTGTAATGCCTTTGGCACGTGTTGTTGTGTGTACCAGTAATGTATCTGTGTTGTACGTGGGGCAGGGATCACGAAGCATCTTCAGACTATACCTTCATCAAGGTTGCTTCAGGGCACTTCCCCTCTCAGCTGTAATTACCTAAGACTGCCGCTGTGTTTCCTAACCCTCCTCACTCTTATTCATCAAGACTTACCATCACCACAAAAATTGCAGGATGTGCTTTGATGGGAAAGGAAGTATCAGAAAAATACTAGGATATTAATCTCTAAATGCCTTGAATGAGAAAAGGGGTGAGGGTTGAGAGCTGAGGGAAAGTTTTGCTTTCTCCTTTGTTGCTTCTTCCCTCAGCTGCCCTCTGGGCAGGTCCCCCAGCACACATCTTGTATCTTTCTCTATGTTTGTCTTTTACTTGGCCCCCTGATCCTTACACAGGCCATTCTGTCCCATGGCTTCTTGCCATTTTGGTTCCCTGCTCGCACTGCCTGCCTGCCTGCTCGCCCTTCCCACCCCTGCTCTGTCATGATGCTGATGGGCAGCTCGCGTTTCCAGTGACCAGGATTTTGGTGTCCTGCAGTTTATCTCTCACTGCATGGCAGCTAGCAACAGTGGACAATACAGGCTCCTTTTTTTGTGTTCAAGATGTTTTTACAAGTGTCCAGGCTCTTTGGGACTCAAAGCTCTGGATAGATGCGGAAGGACTGGTGGGCCTTACCTCACCTGTCTCCTCTCTCCAGTCTCTCATTTAGATCACTGAAACAAAGGATGGCTATGTTTACACAGATCAAAAAAGATTCCCTAAATGCTTGCCTGCACCTTCTGAACAGTCTGCTCATAATTGCAGCTGCTGCGCAGGAGGCAGCACCTCAAAATCCGGAGTTCAAGATGAGTTGTGGTGCGTAGAGCTCTGTACTCTTTC